AAAAAAATATAATTCTGTGCCTTTTTTTGTGTATATTTGATTTAGAAAGTGGTTTAATGTATTTTGTATAGTTAAATACAAGCAGTTTTCATACAAGTTGTTTTCATGTTTCTTTGATTTCCTGTCGCTAAAGGGAATGGTCATGCTGACGGCTCTAGCAAATAAAAGGTAGGTTACATGATTTGCAGGTGTGAAAAATGACATGTTTCTCAAAAGCGGAAGTGATGTAACCTTCCTTTGCTTCTGCTGTGTGATGAGACACCTAGCTAACAAGTGGAAAGCCTCACTTCACTGCGTGCGTGCTTATATTAGGCATGTCAGAGCTTACTGAGCTTCAAAGAGGGAAAATTGTTGGTGCCGCTGAGCTGGTGCCTCTGTGACTGAAGTTGCTGTGTCGGGATTTGCTGTTGAGGTTCAGTATCAAAGGTTATGGAGGCATATACAGGTTCTGAGAAAATGTCTGAACGTAAGCGAGGTCGACATGCTCAACTGACAGACAAACAATGTGCGGGATTGTGACCCGGAATAAGAAAACTTCTGCAAAACGGACTGCAAAGCTCAATCTCAGTCCTGTGAAGACCGAGATCAAGCTCTGCAGTCACTTTTGCATCAGTTTTCTTATTCCGGGTCACAATCCTAAGTAATGTCCTTTTTTTGTCTTTCGGTCAGTTGACCATATCGATGTGCTTGTGGTTATCAGACGACATTTTCCTGGAAACTGTATACTCTACCACGTGACACGGAAAATTGGCAACTTCAGTCACCAGGCATCAGCTAAGAGGGAAAATTGTTGTTGCCACTTTGAAGCTCAGTAAGCTCTGACATGACGCCATATTACTAGCAGCGCACGAAGTGAGCCCGGGTTCACACTGATGCTATGTGGAATTTTCACCGGTTTCTGTGCGAATTCCTGCACCGCGTCACAATTGCACCCCGTTCATGTGAACCGCTGCGGGGGGGGGGGGGTGTTAATACTCTGAAATCTGTTCGCAGAATCGGATAACATGACATGGGTGTGAATACCCATGCGATATGATTCTAGTGCTGCACCTTTTTGGTGCGATTTGAACCATACAAAATGTATAAAAATGAAATGGTGAGCGCCAAAGAGATAATAGAAGTAAAGCGACCATGCACAGAAAGGTAACCAATAGAACGCCTTAAAACTGACAATTAACATGTGCAGCGCTAAAATATGTTGTGAACCAAATAAAATATCAAAAAGTCCCAATGTAATTGGTGATAGTAACAAGATGCTTCTTGTGCTATGGTGACACTGGACCTGGTATCAGTGCAAAACTGAGAAGGCAATGCGCACTCACCAGATGCGCATAATATTTGCGCCTTGTAATAATAATCCAGATGTCGTCAGGTAGAGAACTGGTTTGGAGATGCTCTTCCCTCTTATGGGATAGTGGGTCATCACATTGGATGCTAAGAGGCTGATGAAGACACTCTTCGTTCACTAGATGTAGGCATCTCTAAGGGTGTGTGAGTATCCTCTAGGACGTGTGTCGGCAACCCGCGGCTCTTTTTCACCTTGGCTGCGGCTCCGGAGCACACTGCCCACCAGGTGACAGGCAAAAGGGCAGCAATGGGCAAACTACGGCCCGGTGGACCTTTTAATCCGGCCCGCGGAGCTAGGCTCCCGCTAGGCTCCTCTCACAGTCCGCCCTGAACACCGGTGTAGCATGAAAATCTGTCTCCTATGAGGATCTGTCCCCCTCGACGTATCTGCGCATGTGCCGGAGATCGCCGATCGGCTGCTAATGCCTGAAACTGGCACATGCGCAGATACGTCGAGGGGGACAGATCCTCATAGGAGACAGATTTTGATGCTACACCGGAACGGCGCGGGAACACGGCGAGAGGAACGTGCGGAGCAAAGGTAAGTGAATTGACACAGGGGGGACTTGGGGACTTAATATGGGGGATGAATTATTATATGGGGGATTTATTTTCAGTTTTAAAAATGTGGCTCTCAAAATAAATTTCAATCGTGGTTTTGGTGAGATTTGGCTCAGTTGAAAAAAAAGGTTGCCCACCACTGACCTAAGGCTATGATTGTGATTATGACGATACATTGTGGTCCTGATTAACCCTTTGCTTATTGGGCCCTTAAACCCCTTCATGACCAGAGAGCTTTTTGCAATATATGCAGTGTCGGATTTGTTTTAAATGTTGCAATGGTTTTGCGGCTCCCAGTCTTTTTTTTTCCCTCTCGGAAACAGGTCCAAGTGGCTCTTTATGTCTTTAAAGGTTGCAGACCGCTGCTCTAGGAAGTACTGTCCATTCCTGGTATAGTGGGTCTGCAGGCTAAAAAGCTCCCCCAAGGGGTAGGGACAAAGGTACTTCCATAGTGTAGTAAGTGTGATAAAACTTTATTTTGATGCATCAAGGCAGGTGATAAAATAGCAGACAGGAATATGAAGACTAACCATCTGATCTAAGATGGCCGCCGGAGCTCCACATTGCTCCGGCGGCATGACGTCACGGCGTGGTGTGGCTCCTCCTGTGTGGCTCAAATCACATTGTATAGAATTTGCATGTGATTTGCACAGGAATGTGGTTATGCCACACAGCAGAAGTATGAACCCAGGCTGAATGACAAAAGTGAGGCTTCCCACCTGTTAGCTAGGTGTCTCGTTGCACAGCGGAAGCAAAAGAATGTTACATCACTTCTGCTTTTTAACATGAAAATTGTCACTTTCACACCTGAAAGTTTGTCATTTTTCCACTTTAATTTTTTTTTTGGCCAACCCCTGTACATCAAAATAAAAATGGGAACCTTTAAACCCAACTCCTGACACTTGATGAAGCTGAAGTTCAGCTATGGACTATTTTACATAGTTTGACCTAATACTGGTTCTCTCATATCTAGTCAGAAAATGCTTTGCATTGATTAGGAGTGCAAAGTGTTCTTTTGGTGTCCATGCAGAGCAAGAAACTTTATTTACTAAACAGGACAGCTGCTTGCCACAGGACCACAAAGACAGCGAAGATCTTTGTAGTAGTGATCAAAAAAAATATTGCCCAAGGGACTTTGCGAGGCACACTATATTGTAGTTAAAAAAAAAAAAAAAAAAAAAAAAAACTTTATAGGCGTTAGAAAAAGGACATATTAAAAATGTTCCAAGAAGTCAATATATACAAAGTGTGACGTATACAATTAAAGATGCTAATTCTACATAATACATAAATGCTATAGCACAAGCTTTCTGTGCATTTCATGAAGCAGCGTTCATGAAGAAGTGAATGCGGCTTCACGAAACAATGTGATGTAGCACAGAGAGCTTGTGCTAGGTTTATCATGTAGAATGTGCATCTTTACTTGGTGTTTGTATATCGATTCTTGCAACCTTTTCTAACCATTATGATAAAGAATGTGATTCTTTAACCCCCCTGGCGGTATTCCCAGGGTTAGCGCTTGTGTGTTGAAAAGCTTTATCCCGAGCTACACTCGGGAATACACTGCAGCGTTGCTCCGGGATCTCTTCTTCTCTTACCTTGTCCTGCACTCCTGCGATGTCCCCCCTGCAGGATTCAGGAGTGTGTTACATACAAGTGCAGGATTCAGGAGTGTATTTCGTGCAGGATTCAGGCGTGCGTTACGTCCCGAGTGCAGGATTCAGGCGTGCGTTACGTCCCGAGTGCAGGATTCAGGCGTGCGTTACGTCCCGAGTGCAGGATTCAGGCGTGCGTTACGTCCCGAGTGCAGGATTCAGGCGTGCGTTACGTCCCGAGTGCAGGATTCAGGCGTGCGTTACGTCCCGAGTGCAGGATTCAGGCGTGCGTTACGTCCCGAGTGCAGGATTCAGGCGTGCGTTACGTCCCGAGTGCAGGATTCAGGCGTGCGTTACGTCCCGAGTGCAGGATTCAGGCGTGCGTTACGTCCCGAGTTACAGGATTCAGGCGTGCGTTACGTCCCGAGTGCAGGATTCAGGCGTGCGTTACGTCCCGAGTGCAGGATTCAGGCGTGCGTTACGTCCCGAGTGCAGGATTCAGGCGTGCGTTACGTCCCGAGTGCAGGATTCAGGCGTGCGTTACGTCCCGAGTGCAGGATTCAGGCGTGCGTTACGTCCCGAGTGCAGGATTCAGGCGTGCGTTACGTCCCGAGTGCAGGATTCAGGCGTGCGTTACGTCCCGAGTGCAGGATTCAGGCGTGCGTTACGTCCCGAGTGCAAGGATTCAGGCGTGCGTTACGTCCCGAGTGCAAGGTTCAGAAGTTAGTTAAACTGCAAAGACCCCAATTAAACATACACTTTATAAAACCTTGATTATCAGCATACAGGAGCCGAGGCAAGAATGACAGCATCAGATGGATAACAAATGAGTTCAGCCAAGCAGGACTTGCAGCAGTGTGAACATCTAGCACAGTCAGGGATCGGCCAACAAGCTGGCGGGGGTACGGCTGCAATGAGAGAGAGTGCAGCTGTCCAACCTGTAATGTCGGGGATGGGCGGGGCCGATATGCATTTCGGGGGTTCTATCCCCTTTTAAAAACAACCCGTTCATAGAAAAAAAGATGGTATTTATAAAGTGCCAACTGGGTAAAAGGTGGCAGGGGGAAGGATTAACTGGAACTGCTGCATATGCCCCCGCAGCGGTGTATAATTCAGGTTTATTATACACCGCTGTGGGTGCACATGCAGCTGTTTCATTCAGTCCTGCGCCTTGTCACCGGTTTCCCTGGCCAGCAATGTATAAATGCAGCTGTTTGTGTATGCAGTGTCTGCTTGACAAAGGAAGTGGCCCTGCCCATCCCCGACATCACAGGTTGGAGCTGACAGTTGCAAGCTCTCTCTCATTGCAGCTGGCAGCCTCACTGGCTTGCCTGCCAATCCCTGACTGTTCACACTGCTGCAGGTCCTGCTCAGCTAGAAGTTAGCATGTAAAGAATAGAGTAATGGGGGTCCAAAGCCCCTGTATACCAGGACCGCGGGGACAAAGGTGAATGTACAAGGAAGTCCCGCCATGGGCGGACTGACAACTCATGGGGCCCCCGGGCAATAGGGGATCATGGGGCCCCTGAGTCCTTGCCCAAAATCAAAAAAAGCCTATGAAAAAGGTACCAGGGGCATCTCATGGGGCCCCCTACTGACCTCGGGCAGTGCCTGAGCTTCCAAATGGTCAGTCCGCCCCTGAGTCCCGCCCGTTCTGGCGCTTAGGCATTCATTCATTTCAGTGGCCAGAACAAATTAATAATCTGGCCAATGAAATTAATGAACTCCCAAACCCTTGAGGTGCCTAAGGCTAGGTTCACACCTATGCAGTTTGCAGTTTATCCGTTGCATTTTTGCACATGCATTTTGCTTTTTTTTTTTTTTCTTGTTGCTAGGCAGATTTAAAACACATCAAAAACGCACTACATGCTTTTCTGCAGCAGTTTCCATTGAAGTCTATAGAACCAAAAACGCAAGTTTTTGCATTAAAAAAAAGTCCCTGATCCTTTTCAAAAATCGCCCAGGGTGAAAACGCGGAGATGTGAACGTGTCCTATAGGAAATCATGTTAAATGGACTGTTGTTATTATACAGGATTTATATATTATTATTATACAGGATTTATGGCGACAACAGTATGCCCAGCACTTTACAATATAACGGGAGAAAATACAGCAACAATACAGTTCAATACAAGAGGGATAGGAGGGCCTGATCCTTGGAGCTTACAATCTAAGAGGGAGGGGCTAGTGGTACAAAAGGTAATAACTGTGGGGGATGGACTGGTAGGAGGAAGATAAGATTCCATTCATTATTTCAGGTACTTATATAGCGCCATCAATTTTACGCAGCGCTTTACATATATATTGTACATTCACATCAGTCCCTAACCCTCAAGGGGTGTACAATCTAAAGTCCCTAACTCGCATTCATACATACACATACTAGGGACAATTTAGACAGGAGCCAATTCACCTACCAGCATGTCTTTGGAGTGTGGGAGGAAACCGGAGTACCCGGAGGAAACCCACACAGGCACAGGGAGAACATGCAAACTCCAGGCAGGTGGTGCCGTGGTTGGGATTCAAACCGGCGACCCTAGTGCTGCCAGGCAGAAGTGCTAACCATTTAGCCACTGTGCTGCCCATTATTAGGTGAGGGCAGGATAGGCTTCCCTGAAGAGATAGGTTTTCAGAGATCGCCTAAAAGTGAGCAGAGTAGGCGATAGTCTGATAAGTTTGGGGTAGAGAGTTCCTGAGGATGGGGGAAGTGTTTCTGCAAAAAGCTGAAACTCTTAGGTGTGAAACTGGGGAAATGCGTTAGCAAAATGTGGCTTTATTTGTGGGTTTTTTTTTTTTTTAAGCTGCTTTTCTTCTGCCAGAAGAGGCATTCAGGGGAGCTGGGCAAACACTCTGTGTGTATGAGATCTTAACCCCCCTGGCGGTATTCCCCGAGTGTAGCTCGGGGTAAACTTTCAGTACCACAAGCGGTAACCCCGAGCTACAATCGGGATTATCCTGCAGCGTTGCTCCGGGATCCCTCGATCACTTACCTCGTCCCCCCTGCAGTGTCCTCCGGGCTGATGCCTTTGGCATCCATCTTCTGGGTTCCGTTCCCTGTGACGTCGGGACGTACGGGGGACAGAACTGGCGGGAAATTAAAAAATTTTAAAAAGTGACATTCATTAAATACACTAAAATCACATAGTATTCCATTCCTGTATCAATCCATTTCACATACATTTTGTCCCGAGTGCTTTGTCCGGCGCCCTGCCTGCATTTTTACTGTTCTTTCTGCCTGGAAACAGAGAAACGTCCATGGCATCCAAAAAAGCGTCCCTTTACATCAAAAGCGGTTTTAGACCGGCTAGAGAACAGCGATAGTAAATCAGAACCACTTGCAGAATTGAATGATAATGATTCGTGAGGGGAAATTCCTCATCAGACACTGAAAACGATTCTGCGACTTTGCTCAGCGATGTGCGAACTTGGCGCTATATTTCACATTTCAGTGTTTTTGGTTTGATTATATTTTTGAATTAAATTTATTATCTTTTATGATTATGATTTTGTATTTCACATTTTATTCTCCCCGGGATGTTTACTAGACTCTTGTTCGGACAGATTTCAGTGAGTTATTGTGCGAACTTGGCACTATATTTCACATTTCAGTGTTTTTGGTTTGATTATTGAATTAAAATTATTATATTTGTTAAGATTATTAAATTATAATTTATGATTTCGTGTTTCAAATTTTATCATACCCGGGATGATTACTAGACTCTTGTTCGGACAGATTTCAGTGAGTTATTCCTAAAAATTACAACCTACAATAAAAAAAGACATATTTCCATGCAAAAAAATGTACCGCTTTGAGCACAGAAATATGGACATAATCAGACCGCTAGGGAGGTTAATGGAAGTACAAAAGGTTCCCCGCACTTCTTAGAAAGTGTACTGTTTTTTTTTTTTGTTTTTAATGGGCAGAGAATTTGTTGCAGAATTAATTACAGAGAGCCCTACATGGACCTCCAGACAGGGATCTGTGGAGAGCGGCATGATGGGAGGACTGTAGGGACGACAGTTGATGTCTGACGCCAGCCTGGCAGACTGATGAGTGGGTTAAGCTCGGTAAAGATACAAAATAACAGATGGATAATTAGAGGTGAACTACAACAGAGATTTGCTAAATCAGATCAGTGTGGCATCTGCTGGCGGCGAATGCTGTCTTGCAGTCTGACTGCGCTGTCACTCACAAATGTCCCTCTTTAAGATGCGTAACTTTCGCCAATTTTTCTAATTTCCTTTTATTTCTGTCCATTCTACAGAATGCCACAGCTTTTGGTGTTCTTCAGTACTCCATTGCTCATTGTTACAGCAAATACAATTGCCTGATGCATTTGTAACTGTAAACGGAATTATAGCTGAGCTCAAAAGAAATGCTTTTTTTTTTTCTTCTCCGGAAGGACGGCACCATCTTTGGCCAGCATCTAATCCCGGGCAGGGGCGGACTGACAACTCATGGGGCTCCCGGGCAATAGGGGATCATAGGGCCCCTGTGTCCTTGCCCAAACACAAAAAAGCCTATGAAAAAGGGGCATCTCATGGGGCCCACTACTGACCCCGGGGCCCTCGGGCAGTGCCCGAGTTTCCAAATGGTCAGTCCGCCCCTGATCCCGGGACTTCGATTCCGGCTCAGAGATGACACAGCCATGTATATCCTGGGCCTGTGCAATTCTTGGTTGTGTTCACAAAGGTCTGCAACCTCTCACCTTGTGGCTTGCTACAAAGTTACAATGTTGCAATGTAATCACTGGGGGGGAGGAGACTGAGGAAATGCCCCATCCTGCCTGCAGCAGACTGATTACATCATCTTAGGCTGGACAGATCACTAAGCCCTGGTTCACACTGATGCGGTGCGGAATTTGCAGCGTTCTCGGTGTGAATTCCGCACCGCATCAGAATCGCACCCCGTTCATGCAAACCGCTGCGGGTGTAAAGGTATTTAGCAGTTTATATTTACTGCAATCTGAATGGACAAGGGGAGAGGTGATGTAATGTCCACCTCGTCCACTAAGAGAATTCTTTACATTCATTGAGAAAATGCATAGCATTCTCTGAATGTCAGCCAACCTTCATGTTCATAAAGCAGTAGGGTAGCCACTCGGCGCAGTACCCGGAAGCTAGTGGAGATGACTGGAGTAGCGGTGTCTATTACAGAGATTTCCAGCTTTAAGATCAGCCATTCTCAACAAGGGTTCCATCGAACCCTTGAGTTCTTCCACAGGTTGTTAGGGGTTCCTTGAGCTGTGGCTGGTTGACCTCCTATATGATGGTTCCTGCATTGTCTAAGGATCAATGGCACCTGGCAAAATCAGAAACATGGCACCAATGATCTTTTAGCTGTCTGTAAGAGGGGCATTCTTTAGATTGACCACCAGTGTAGGAGGCATTTTCAACACTGACCACCAATGAATTGGTTTTAATAAGGGTTTCTCAAGACATGAAAATTATTTTAGGGGTTCCTCTGGGCTGCGGCGTATTTAAGGCAATCCATGCGTTGGCCTTAGAAGGCAACTTTCAGGGGGTGCAGTGGCTTCCCTAACAAGCTCATCCAAGCTCCCTGCTCCCCACACCCCCCCGATTCTCCTACAGCAGTGGTTCTCAACCTTCGTAATGCCGTGACCCTTTAATACAGTTCCTCATGTTGTGGTGACCCCCAACCCTATAATTAATTACCCAGTAATTATAATTCATGAAGTGTTGTTTTACCTCCAATACTGCTGCTTTCAATACAGTAGCTGCTTTCAACACAGTAGCTGCTTTCAACACAGTAGCTGCTTTCTACAAAATAGCTGCTTTCAACAGAGTAGCTGCTTTCAACACAGTAGCTGCTTTCAACACAGTAGCTGCTTTCTACACAGTAGCTGCTTTCAACACAGTAGCTGCTTTCAACACAGTAGCTGCTTTCAACACAGTAGCTGCTTTCAACACAGTAGCTGCTTTCAACACAGCCGCTGCTTTCAACACAGCAGCTGCTTTCAACACAGTATACTATATGTGTTTTCCGATGGTCTTAGGTGACCCCTGTGAAAGGGTCGTTCGACCCCCAAAGGGGTCGCAACCCACAGGTTGAGAACTACTGTCCTACAGGTTCCCGCTCCTGCCTCTGCACTCCGGACAGATTCACCTGTCCACAGCAGGAGCAAGCCATTGTGGTGGTTGGGGTTGAGGAGGACACATCCTTCATGTCCTCTACCTCTGGAGCCGCTCTTCACTCAGAGCTCAGACAGCGCTTAATGCAAACACAAGAGATCCCACAGCGGGTGGGGTTGTTGGTGGTCAGTGGTGTATTTAGGTTTTGTGCTGCCCTAGGCAACACAAAAATTGTCTGTACCCACGGACACTGATCAACATGACCCCCCCTTCAACACAACCCCCCAAAAATGAAACCATTCTTCACATTCGGTGTTAAGTACTGTCACCAAACATGACACATTCAAGTTAGTAGGGCCATGACACAACCGCCCTGCAACCTTACAGCACAAAGGTTTGGCTTTTGAGGGTTAAAAAAAAATGGTCTTCTATCTCGCCTGTCACCAGCCACCTGTCAACTGCCACTGAATAGCGATTCCACGGAGAGAGAATGACATTGTCCAACAACACCCCTGCACCCCACCTGGGAGAGCCTTCCACTACTTCCCTTCAGCGATAGAGACTCACCTTCACAGCTCTGGACATCCCCGGGAACGAGAGTCAGGCTCTACATACACCATCAAACAGCCCACAGCCTCTCTTGGATCCCACCTGGTTCTCCTGGTGCACATGCTCCTTTCATCCCTTCTTCTAGGGGGAGGTGCTGCCCCCTGAAAAATGCTGCCCTAGGCAAGTGCCTTGTGGTAGATACACCCCTGGTGGTGGTCACAGCCAAGGGGGAAAGGAGGGTAGGCAACAATTTCTTCTGGTTGGGGGATTTTGGGCCTGATTTCAGTGTTCCCTAGGGCAGCACAAGGGATAGATACACCCTAGCCTCTGGGTAACAAAAGATGAGAAAGGCTGTTCTTGAGGGAATTCCACAGGTATGGTATATAAAACGTTACATTGGTCCAGACTGGGGTAAAAAAAATGCCATGCCTAGAATTTTTCTTTAAGTCAACTTTGTATTTAGTTGCATGCCTGGAGTCTAGTTTTACCTTTTAGCCGTCTCATTTTAGTCCACCACACTTCAGTAAATGGAAGCCTCTCTCGATTTTGCTGGATTTTCACCTTTTTTCTACCAAGTTCGGTGCTACTGACTGCAGTGTTTGCTCTTCCCCAATTGTCATATCGCTCCTCTATCAAAAAAGCAAGCAGCTGGAAAATAAGGAAAAAACGGCATCATTCAGTGAAATGTCAAATTTCAAGTCATTTTTTTTAAAAAGCTCCATAGTTCTCTTTGCTTTTTATGTATGAAAAATGTTTGTGTGGTTCTTCAAAGAAAAATCACTTTTTCCTAAAAGACTGATATAACCTCTATAAATGGTACAGAAGCCATTTTTTGTAAGTTATTAACAACTGCTTTTCATTTTCAATACTGTGATTTTCAAAAAGGATGAGAAAAAAGTGAATACTGTTTTATAAAAGAAGACCGGCTTTAAAGGCATTTTAAAGCCTCATGCACGCTGGATGTTTTTAATGCTGCTTCTAGGGGCTACTGCCTCTAAATGCCCCTGCAGGGTAGCAAAAAAATGGGAACCAATGAGTGAGACTCCGCTGGAAAAGAAGTCCCGTGGAGGGTGATGTAGCTTTTTGTACTGTGTTATTATTATGCCAATAAAATATCATATTTTTAAGCCGCAGCATGTTCTCGGAGCCCCGGTTCACATATATGCGGCCGTGCGGGCCCCAGTTTGTGCGGGCACAAGAGCCTATTCATTTGAATGGACTCTCGTGCCCCGTGACACGCAGGGAAGCAGTCCCTGCACTTCTTCCGAAAAACGCAGCCCGCACGGGAACCTCGGTTCCCAGTACGGTTGCGTTTTCCAGTGTGGGCGGCGTGCCATTAGAACCAATGGCACCCACCCGTGGGTCTGCATTTCTCTGCGCAGGTGGTGCGGCTGCACAGATTTTCGTGCCGATCCGCAGCGGCACCACCCGCACAGATGTGAACCTAGCCTTAAAGTGGAGTTCCGCTCACCCTGTCAAAAAATAAAAGTCAGCAGCTACAAAAACTGTCGCTGCTGACTTTTAAAAAACATTCACTTACCTGTCCCTCAGTCCCGTGGTGTGTCCCCCGCAGCTCGTTTTCACCGTCCGTCTTGTATTCCAGGAGGCCGGTATCTTCAGTGTGGGCACCCGGCTGTGATAGCTTGCGGCTTCACAGCCGGGTACCCACTGCGCATGTGCGAGTAGTGCTGCGCTTCATGAATGGTCCTGTAGTCTTCTGACACCTGTCACGTGTCCCAAAAGACTACAGGGAGGGAGGACAACTTCCGTTCCCGATCGCCTAGGCCAGGGGTAGGCAACCTGTGGCTCTCTAGCTGTTGTGGAACTACATTTCCCATGAGGCATTGCAGAGATTACAAAACTGACAGTTACAGCTATGACTTGCAGAGGCATGATGGAACTTGTAGTCCTGCAGCTCTAAGGTTGCCTACCCCTGGCCTAGGCGATCGGACTGGAAGTGGGAGCGGGTACCTGTCAAATTTGGGTACCCGCCCCCAAAGGTGCCAATCCTTAATGGGGAGCAGTCCTTAAAGCGGAACCTCCCCTTTTGGCCTCCCCGGGCCAATCAGTGATCACATGAACAGTAGTAAGCAAGTTGTCACTTCTGACATCATTGCTTACTACGTGTGAAATCTGTGATCACCGAGGTCACATGGTACAAAGCTATACACAACAGCCTTGTACCATGTGACAAGCTGTGACCAATCACAGCTCTCACAGTAGTTCTCAATGGATGCAAGAATACAGTTTTATCTGTCTCAAAAAAATGCAAAAAAATTCATATGGGTACAGTGTTGCATGACCGCGCAATTGTCATTCAAAGTGTGACAGCGCTGAAAGCTGAAAATTGGCCTGGACAGGAAGGGGGTAAAAGTGTCCGGACTTGAAGCGGTTAAAGAAACCCAACATTTTATATTCCTTGTATGAAGGAGTATCCTGTTCTCTTTGTATTGCTTCCTTTGTGTGAAATCCTTGGTGTTCCTGCCAGTCCTTTTGCTTTCCTATTAAAGTGTTACTAAACCCACAACAGTACAATCAGTCTGTAGATGCAGTAAATCATGCTTGTTATACTCACTGTGGAACCTAAGGGGTTAATCCTCTGCATTGTGTAAAAAGGCTGTTTGATCCTGTCTTCTCTGATCCTCCCCTTCTACTGTCCCCAATCCATCTGCTGATAGTACAGAGCCCTTGGAGTCCCCCTGCACATGCTCAGTTTAGTGTGTATTGCTAGAAAGTTGTTTTTTCTCGGGAGAGTCCATGTGATCAGCACAGGGCCAATCAGAGCTGCCCAGACAGAGGGTCAAGGGCTATGCAGCCTCATGGGACAGTCAGGGGAGAATGAAACTCCTCCTACAAGTTTTGACCAGTGCTCTGCTGGACACTGATTTTTTTTTTTTTTTTAGTCCGCGAACGTGCGAAAAAACGAAAAACCCGTAAGTGTTCACAAAAAACGTGCAAGTGCAAAACACCACACAAAAAAGTGCACTTAGGGGTGTGCTTTGTCCTTCCCCCGAAGGGGATGGACCTCTACCCTGATCCCCCGGGGCACAAAGCTCCTGACAGGGACAAGGTTCCCATTTGGTCCACCTAGCCAAAAGGCCTGGCGGACA